TGTGTGTGTGTGTGTGTGTGTGTGTGTGTGTGTGTGTGTGTGTGTGTATTTGTTGGGGTGAGGGGTAACATTTAGAGGCCGAATGCCAAAATCAGTCACAAATTTCACCTCTTTGGTCCCCCAATAGGAATAAATATCAGAGATAACCCTCATTTAGTAGCTTACTCCCACCGCCGCCACCTTTTTAAGTTATCATTTTAGCTCTCAGCTAACCCTATGATCAGAATCCTCTCTCTGAGAAGGAAACCGGGGGCGCCAATTAGGAAGCAGTATAGCGGCAGCAGTATAGCCATGCCAGCTCTCTGCTCTGCTCCAAACCAAGCCAAACCAAGCCCCGCTAGCGGAGGCGGTCACCCGGTACCGCCCCGCCCAGCTCCTCTGTAACTCTGCACACTCCTCCATCTCCGAGCTGTGATGAGTTCGGCTGTCTCAGACCTGAAGACATTCTTCTTGCCTTCCCGAAAAGATCAAATAAAGCCACCGAGAACGGGCAATAGAAATATTCACCAGTGCTACCCCACTCCAAGAAGAGAGTCACCAAGTTTCAAGAACCTTGCGTAAACACGCGCGCACACACACACACACACACACACACACACACACACACACACACACTTCTGGTATCCCAGCATGAATGTAAAGAATCGACCGAGAAAGAGAGAGAGGGCAGCGGGGAGAGTAGGGGGAGGGGGGTGGAGGAGGAGGATGCTTCAAGAACTGACCGAGACCCTTTTCAAATCTAGAGGGTTGGAATTCCTCTGTCCCAACCACTGCCTCCCTTCTTATGGCCGAGGCTTCACCAGATCAGGGAAGATGAGCTGTCCCTCGTCCGACTCAGTCAACCCTAGCCAAAAGAGCCTAATCCGCGTGTCCAGAAGCAGCTCATCCTCCAGCACTGACCGAGCGGACTTTCCAAATTAAAAAAGGTATCTGAGGAGTATCTGAGGACTGAGGAAGCGGAAGGAAAAGGAACACCATAAACCCTCTCCAGTCCCTCTGATTATTTCTTTTCCAAGGCTAACCTAATCCCCTCCACCCACTCCTCTCCACATACAAGCACTCGCACACCTTCATCCACCGGTGCATAGAAACACTAGTTGATTTCTTCACGATTAAAAAAAAAAAAAAAGTGTAACAAGTCTCCGCAGAAGGGTCTGGAGCAAGGAAAGTAAGTCTGCGGGAGGCTTCTTAGTTGTTTCCCAGGAGTTCAGAAATGTGCCAGTTCCCAATGAAATTGGGTGCCCCTCGATACCCAGAAGAACGGGAAACGCAGCACTCCCTCTACACCCTGTCGCCTCTCACCTCTTTAAGTTCCTTGGCCACGTCCTTCAGGTCCCCCAGGACTAATTCCAAATCCTCTACGATGATCTTGATCTGCTCCTTTACCTTGGTTTTGGAGGCTGCCGGTGGCCCCTCGGCTGGAGAGGAGGAGGAGGTGGTCCCCTTAGACTTGGCTGACATACTTTGGGGGCCGGGGCAGGTGGGCAGGGGAAGCAGGTCAGGACAATTGGCTGAACGGAAGCTCTGTGACCCGGTCGCTGGCTCCAGAGCCGCAGCCACCCTTCTCCACCAACATGTTTGGCTCTTCCTGAACAGCGGGTCTCTGCGCTTCGCTCTCTGCCAGGAGGCCGCACTGTGGTGCTGCCATCAACTCCCAGAGAAACTGCACTGAGAGCGCCCAGGCTGCAGACTGGCGAACAGCGCGCCTGCGCCTGCCTGCCCGACACAGCACTCTTACACACGCACTCCCTCTTTCCCTCACGCAGGCACACACGGGAAGAAGCACAGGGAGCCGAGGAGGGAAAGGAAGGGACAACTCATCCCTCCTGGATCCCTTTCCCAAAACAGTAGTGTGCGCTGATGTTAAGACACATGGTGCAATTTCGAATTTTTGCTCTCTCACCACTGCCATAATCTTTCTTCCTATCTTGAAGAATATATTCAAATCAATTCAATAAAGATTTATTAAGCCCCACTTTGTACTAAGTACTTATGTCTGGCCCTGAAGATTCAACGATGACAAACACCCTAGGCCGTGCCCTCAAGAAGCTTATAATCTAAGGAGGTTCACAAAAAGTTAAGATACCGATTATAATTTGATAGGGACAAAAAAGGAGATTAAAAAAAACAGATGATCTAGGAAAATTTGAAGAAAGGCCTTTCTACTGGCTAGATCAGCGACGGCTTGATGGAGCTAATGAGTCCAAAGGTACTAATGTTCCTTGAAGGAAGAGGATTTCAACAAGGTAATAAGGGGGAGTCTAGTCAGAACTCACAAGGCAGGAGAGCACAAGACATTTCTGGAAACATGTAGTAGTTTGTCTTACCTTGAATTCTAGAATATATAAATGGTTAAAGCGTGGATCCTGCATACAGTCTGTTTCTCAGGCAGGTTTGGTGATAATTGGGGAGGGCTTTAGGGCTGGGGTCATAAAGGAAGGGTGGAGTCAAAAGTTGGAGATTCTAGAATGTAAAAAGCTGGAGATTGCCTCAGCTGATGAGTCCTAACTCTGGAGCAAATAAGATCTGGTTCTGAACCTGACAAAGGCTAGCTAGATAGCTAGTAAATCAAGTTTGGTTAAAACATCACCTTCTACCCTACAAAATGCCTTCTTTTGATTCCTCTAAATTCTGGTGGCTTTTCTTGGTTGATTATTCCCATTGTATCCTGCATATAGCTTGATCATACCTAGTTATTTGGATATTTTCTCCCCTTATAGACTGTAGGCTCCTTGAGAGTAGGCACTATCTTTTGCCTTTCTTTGTATTCCCAGTTTATCACAGTGCCTGACATATAGTAGGGATTTAATAAATAAGTGTTTGGTTTTTTTTGTTTGTCTGTTTTTCACTGAACCTGATCAAGGTTCCTAGACTCTTTCAGCTTAAATCTGGACTCTTCAATGATGATCATTCTGTACTTTGTGGTAGTAATGTGACTTGGTCTTAAATTTCCATGTTAAACCCCCTCATTTAAGCCAGTAAATATGCATGGCTTAACCATTTGTTTGATGCTTCTTTGTGATTAAATTGCTGGTTGAGTCTATATAAGTTACCTATGCCAGGCTTTTGAGTCCATTCTTTGATCTCAGCCATTTCAGAATTTCCATCTGAAAACAAATCACTTTCAGTTACATGAGACACATCCAGTGGCATTTACTTGTTATCAACTATAACAGGTTAGTGAAAAAAGAAATACTTGGTTGTTCCAAAAGTATTTCTGTTGTTTTTGTTGTTATTTTTAAAATCCATATATCTTTGTTGTTCATCCTTTGTTTGAAGAGGACCAAGGACATAAGGAGGGTGATATCTTGACTTCCAAGTGAATTGGATTTAAGTAAGGCAAAGGTGTGTGAAGTCATCAGCCTCACTCTCTGCTCCAGAGTCATGGGAGTCCAGTGGCAAGACAAAAGTCAAGATAGCTAGTACAGCCACAATCCATTTATCATGTGTTCTATGTCTACCAGTTCCCTCTGTTATTTTGGGTGAAGAAATGTCAATCTATACAACTGCTTCAGAGTTACTGGCACTCTGTTTTGGTAGTCCATAATTCTTAAATTATCTCTCCTGGATCTATTTTCCTGGTCAGTTGTTTTTCCAGTGAGGCATTTTACATTTTCTTCTATTTTATTTCATTCTTTTGATTTTATTTGATTGATTCTTGATGTCTCATAGAGTCATTAGCTTTCACTTCCCCAATTTTAATTTTTAAATAATTATTTTCTTCAGTTAGCTTTTGTACCTCCTTTTCCATTTGACTAATTCTAGTTTTAAGTTGTTTTCTTCAGTGTTTTTTTTTTCCATTTGACCAATTGTATTTTTTAAGGAATTGTTTTCTTCAGTCAATTTCTGTCCTTCCTTTTCCAAGCTGTCGACTGTCTCTTGCCTACTTCTCATTTCTTTCCCCAATTTTTCTTCTATGTCTCTTATTTGACTTTTAAAATCCTTCTTGAGCTCTTCAAGGAAGACTTTTTTGGGCTTGAGATCAATTCAAATTCCCCTTTGAGTTTTCAAATGTAGGCATATTGACAATATTGTCCTCTTCTGAGTTTGTGTTTTAATCTTCCCTGTCACCATAGTAATTTTCTATGGTCAATGTTAATATTCATTTCCTGCTCATTTTTTGTCTATTTCATAGCTTTAAAAGTTGAACTCTTTCCCAATTGATAAATGGTCAAAGGATATGAGTATGTAGTTTTCAGATGAAGAAATTAAATCCTTTAAAGTCACATAAAATGCCCTAAATCACTATTGACTAGAGAAATGCAAATCAAAGCAACCACATCACACCTATCAGATTGGCCAACACGACAAAACAGGAAAATGATAAATAATGGAGAAGATGTTGGAAAATTGGAACAGTAATGCGTTGTTGGTAGAGTTGTGAAATGATCTAATCATTTTGGAGAGCAATTTGGAACTATGCCCAAAGGTCTATAAAAATGTGTATACCCTTTGACCCAGCAATAACACTTCTAGGGCTATATCCCAAAGAAATCATACAAATGGGAAAAGGATCCACATGTACAAAAATATTTATAAAAGCTCTTTTTGTGGGGGCAAAGAATTGGAAATCGAGAAAATGCCAACCAAATGGGGCATGGCTGAACAAGTTATGGTATATGAATGTAATGGAATACTACTGTGCTATAAGAAATGATGAGCAGGCTGACCTCAGAAAAACTTGGAAAGACTTGTATGGACTGATGCTGAGTGAAGTGAGCAGAACCAAGAGAACATCGTACATAATAACAGCCACATTGTGCAATGACTAATGTTGATAGACTTAGTCCTTCTCAGCAATGCAAAAATCTAAGACATCTCCAAAGGTCTCATGATAGAAAATGCTATCCACATCCAAAGAAAGAACTATGGAGTTTGAATGCAGATCAAAGCATACTATTTGCTATTTTTTCTTCTGTTTTGTTTTGTTTTCTCTTTCTAGTGGTTCCTCCTAATTCTTCCTTACAAAATCACTAATGTGAAAATATGTTTTATAAAAATGTATATGTGTAGCCTATATCAGATTGCATGCTGTCTTTGGGAGGGAGGTAGGGAGAGAAAAATTTAAAACTCGAAGCTTATAGAAGTGATTATTGATAAATCAAAAAAAAATTAATAAAAAAATAGTTGAGCTCTGTTTCTGAGGCATGTGGAGCACTGTCCCCAGCTTCTTGTGCTGGAGTCTAGGGGCCTGGTCACTGGCTTTGTGGGCTGGGGCCTCAAATGCTGGCAGTTGGAGGCTCTAGGGGTCTGGCAGTTTACCTGGTGCTAAGCTGGTGGTGTCTGGCATGTGCTGAGGACAGATGGAATCTTTTCTGCGTTTCTCCAGGGCTACACTGAAGTATGTGGCGGTCTGGACCTTGGAGAATGCCTGCCCACTTAGCACTACACTGAAACACATGTTGGTTCTCAGAGCTGGAGTCTGCTGGTTCTCCTGGCTATGCTCAGGCTTGAGGGGGGGCCCTGGTGTCAGCATTTGTGCACCAATATCTCCTGCTGATTTGTTGAGGTGGGGCTTGCTGCTGGCTTGCTGGGATACTTCATGTCCTGGATTGTGCTCCCCTATTACCTGAGTGATATGGACCTTTTTTTGTTGATCCTACAAGTCTCTCAGGCTAAAAAACTACTCCACTCCATCTTTCCACTGGCTCCAGTGTTCCAGGATTTGTTATAGGGCACTATTTTATGGTTGTTTGGAGGCAGATATGGGAGAGTTATAGTGATTTACTGCTTATTACACCATCTTGTCTCCTGGACCTATGTTTTATTAAAGTATGCAGGGGTTTTTCTTGTTTGTTTGTTTGTTTTTGTGATAAGTTGCAAAACACTTCATAGTCCATTTTACATTTCTGAAAGTAGCCTGTAAAGGTGCCAAGATATTACAAAGGTGTTATTTGCTTTGCATGTGTTCTTCTCTTTTGGTTTTGATTTTGTCAATTTCTTTATATATTTATCCACAGTCATCTCTTTGAAGCTTTTTGGGTTTTTTTTTTGTTTTGTTTTGTTTTTGTTTGTTTGTTTGTTTGTTTTTGCTGGATGTGTCCATCTCACAGAAGACCAGGTTATTTGTTAACATCATCCTCACTCATCAATTCAACGTGACCTATGGGTTCAAGCTTCAAAAGATTAGTCTTTTTTTTTACATTAAGAATTTTAGATTTATGAAGTTCAAATGATATTTTGATATCCCTAGAGAAAAAAAATCTATAAGATGAAGGACCATTTAATATGTGTTTGGTGGAGTAATGGAACTTGAACACACGTGTACACAGATATACAAGCTTACGTATGTGTGTGTGTGTATATACATATATATATATGTATATCTGTGCATATGATATTTGGTTTAATTCCTTTTTAATTTTGAAGCCTTCTTTGGTTTTACACTGAAGAGAATATTATGAATATAAGCCTAGGTAGAACCAAAATGTATTTAAACTGTCTTCCTGAAAAATAACATGTTTTATATCAATTGTTCTTGGCATTATTCTGTTGGTAGAGTGTTTCAAAGAGTTTTCCATGTGGACATAAAATACTCTGGCATTCTCACTATGTTTGCATCTGTCTTCTATTTTTGCAGTACATAAATAAGCTGTAAGTGCAGAACTGAATCAAAAGTTTTGTGA